TAATTTTAATCTCTTATGCCATTTTTTCTCTAATTTTCATGGAACGATCTTAATTTTTTCATGAAACCATATATGAACATTCTTATATGTAGTAACAACTATACTATAATCAACAAGCTTTATGTCAACCTCTATGATATGCTTTAGTAACATAAAAAATTGTCACTTCAATTTGAGCATACTGTGCAAAGGCATTACTAATAAAGGATGAGAATTCGTCTAAGTATTCTCCATTACAGTCACGAAAAATATCTCTCTTCCTACATCAATATTGCATTTTATCACCTCACATTAAACATTCTCCAATCTAATTTATTTTAAAAATATGAATATCAATGTTAACATGTTTAAGAATCTAGCAGTCTTATGATTTATATTTATATTTATTATTATTATTATTATTATTATTATTATTATTATTATTATTATTATTATTATTATATTTTTCTTACCGTATTATTAAAATTATTCACCAATTTTATCAATAAGTATACTTAAGTGGTAGTATTACATTTTTTTTAGTTTGAACAATTATAATTACAAATATATAATTAAATAGTTTTTAATATATTTAAAAAATTATATATATTCGTCAATTTATCACATATAAAGATATATAGATAGATAACTGAATAGAAATAACAAAAAGAGTATTTTTTAATAAAATTAAAAAGAAAAATTAATATTTGTTATTAAATATTATTATAAATTACCAATCATAATGACAAGTTAAATATAAAATAATTCATTGAAAAAAAAATACTTACCTTGTGTGCTCAAGATTTTCCAAAATGTTGTTAGTTATTGTGATAAATAATATGAATAAATACCACGATTAAAAATAATTATAAGTTATCAAAATTAAAACAAATCAATTATATAGTTTACTTTAAAAAAAAATTATTTTTAAATTATCAAGTGGCTTTAAAAACTTTCAAACTTAATCAAATTTGAGTATATATATTCTCAATTTTTCTTAAGACATTTTTGTAAAAAATATACTACTAAATATCCTAACACATATCTTATTTTAGAAAATATATCCAGTTAGGAGCTTTTATTTATATTATTTTAAAATTAGCATTACAATTAATCCGTTACATTTTTGTGTGAATATAATTTATGTAATTATTATTATTATTATTATTATTATTATTATTTAGCCCTAAATTGTTTACGAGTCATTTGTATTGATAATTTTTAGGAATATAGGTTTCTTATTTGTGGAAATGTTTGTTACCCAAGCTTACCCCCACCACAACATTTTCAATGAGAGCAGCACGACATCCAAATACTATCGTTTTCTGCCACCAACCACAATTTTCATTATGTGGGCACCAACCTTTCATTAATTTTATAACAGCTACTCTATATTCATTTTAAAACTACGTACTCAGAGGACCTTTAAATGTGTTCCATTAGACTTTTTTTTTTTTTTTCTTTTTTATGTGACCAACACAAGCTTGTTGTTTGACATGGTAAATTCAATTCTCACCTATAGTTCGTTTATAACTTTATTATTATCATTTTAAGCTAATTTTACTCACCATAAAAGTTTAAACCTAATTAAGTTTAGTTAACATCAACATGACTTTCTTTTTTATTGCATTATTATTCTATTATGTAAGAAAATTGAATTTGGTATAGAGATGAGTCTCAAAGTTCATTTAACGATAAGTAATAATATTTATTATTTTCCGAAATTTAAGGGTAATTTCTTTTATTGCTGGAATTCAGATGAATCGAATAGTATAACAATGCTTTGATTTCGAAAATTAATATTTAATCTACTCGAAATTTACGTTAACAATCTAAAGCACAATAATTTAAGGATATTGTCTGCAGACTGTAACTATTTTTAGTTGTTTAATTTGTGGATGTTGTATGGGGCCATGGAAAGTGACTCTTCTTGGCTGTTGGGTGGATCATAATACCTAAAACTACGTCTCATGCGGATTTTAATTTAACACATTCTGGTCAAAGACTCCATTCTCTTCTGTGGACATTTACCTAGTTTTTTTTTATAATCATTTTTCACTTTATTTTATATTTTTATCATATTATTGATCTTATGTCGCATTACAAGAAATATTGTATAAAAATTATGTAAAAGTTACATTTATTCAAGATAATGAGAGATGAGCTAATGTACCAGTTTCTGTAAACTTAGAATAAATATTTATTTATTTTTCATAAAAATTAGTTATTTAAAAGAAGATATATATTTTTTTACTAAAAAATATTTTTTTTAAATAAGTGAATTAAATAAATATATAAAATATAAAAATCTAAATAATTTATTAAAAAAATAAGTATAAACAAAACTGGCTCAATGTTAAATATTTAAGAAAATATTTTTTTATGTATATTTAGAGCTGAATACTGGACGTATTTTTCTAAACTAAACTAATGATTTATACTAGTTACTCATCGTGTAAAAAGTAACACGCATATCTAATTTTTTAAAAATATTTTCTTGATAAGAGTTATATAGTTCATTTTTATTTTTATTGTTTATTTCTTTATAATCTAATAATTGATATAAATTATTATTTATACTAGTAGATTAAAACAAAAAATAAAAAAAATTAACTATTGGGTTAATTTTCTATATATATATATATATATATATATATATATATATATATATATATATATTCTTTTAAATTTATCTCATACAAATGTTTAACTTCAACAAATTTATCATCAATTCTTTCAAATTTTTAAAAACGATAGACTTGACTATTGAAAAAAAAAAAGAGGATTTAAAATTAAAATGTGCATAAACTTATCTGCCATTTCCATTTTTTGAAATCTTGAAGAATTTTATCAATAAAAGCCTCAGTGGGACTTTATTGACATCATCAACTACGTTGTACTTTGCAGAATTCATCAGTTAAAAAAAAAAAAAAGAGTACTCTAATGATATTTCATTCGTTATAAAATATTAACATAAAAAAAAGTTAACATTAAACTTTAGTTTTTAATAATAAATTGGTTTTCTTCTCAAAAGAGTAAAATCTAATAATGGCATAGACATATAATTGACATAGTTGAGACATGTTTGGTATAAATTATTGTAGGATAATTAAATTTCACTATATTAATTAATATTGAACTCAAATTGACTGACTCAAACATATGAAAATTTATCAAACAATAATGCTGATAATTAAATATCCTTAACAACTATTTTAATGAAATATAATAATACATAATTGAATGACGTCATGCATCAATATGAAATCCATATATTTTTTGCGTTTAACTGATAGTAACGGTAATCGATTTGACATTTTGAAAATGAGTCCCCTTACGCTAGTAACTGTATATTTAATGTTTGTCAAACTATTTGATTTTTCTTGATTACTGCCAAATTGGGGTGATAATGTATAGATACTTACCTACGTATCATATATGTTAATATTGATAGATAAAGCTTTAATAAAATATTTATATATATTATCTTCAAGCGGTAATTATTTATTCATTAAATTATTTTTCTTAAGAAAAGACTAATATATAAAGAGTAAAATTTACCCTAAAATCTATTTATTATTCTTTAAATTTTCACATTTTTTTATTGTTAGATATATGTTGGAGGAGTAGTGGTTCTATTACAAGAAAGTATTTTACTTAACAATTTGTAGTCGATATATTATATGTTGAAATCAATATTTTTTTTTAATTTGATAAGAATATATGTAGTCTATTATCAATGAAAATATTAATTTAATCTTTATTAAAATTAATATCTCAAATAAAATAATAATAATCTTTAAAATCTTATCATAAAACTGAAATATTATTATTTTATTAGAGACATACAACAACGTATTAAATATTTGTTATTAGCAATTTCTTTTTTCACTTCTTATATTATATTACTTATTATTTTTTACTTTATTTTTAGATGTTAAATAGAGTTTAACGTCTCCTAAATTGTACTCGGTAAACTAATAATAAATTGCACATAGATAGAGAAGGATCATTAGAAAATGGTCCCATTACATAAATGGCAGAGGAGAAAAATTGAAAGCGATGGGGTTGATATTGGCCATGGATATCCTTTAATTTCACATTATAGCAGACAATGCCGATTAATAACATCATCCAAAATTCATGGACAACTCTAGAAGGACCCTATCTCCATGAATGCTATACCAACATATTTTACACAGCATTTTTAATTATTTTATCATGATGAAATTATAATTTTTTTTACATATTTTAGTTAGATTATGAGGCAATTTACAAACTCTAACGTTTTAGGTTAGTTATGGAGCTAATCTTTAGTTTTTAGATTTAATAACATTTAAAACTCTTTCTTTTCTTCAAAATGTATCATGCAAGAATCAAAGAAAGAAAAGATTCCTTCTTTTCAATAGATGTTATTGAGTATTTTTAACTCACTCGTGGTTATAAATATATCAAAAAAATTCAAATGAAATTCATTAACAAGTCTTATTTGTTATTTGATAATCCTTATTTATTTTTGTACGCGTTAAAAACTAAGTTATTAAACTGTTACGTTCTTCTTATCTCAAATTATTGGAAAATTCAGTTCTGATTTAGTAAACACGGTTAGATAAATTAAAACAGGGAGAAAAAAAATAATTTGTATTGTTTTGCATTTATATAAATATTTACTGAAAATTTTATCCAAATTTACGATAAATAAATAAAGTAAAAAAGGGCATAAGTTTTGTAGTAGGTGACAATTTTTTCAACAGCCGAATAAATTATTTGGCGTTGACATATAGTTATAGATATATTTTAGTTAGAGAAAATGAGGATTGAAAAATGAATGAGGCATGAGATAAACGCATGAAGAAATGTTACGAAGGAAGAGGCGAATAAAACAAGAGAGCACGTGGTTTGTAGTAATAGAAGGTTATTAGGTCATGTGAAAGCCTTGCTTAAATGCCCCCATAACACCCTCCGCAACGTACACACACATTACAAACCTAGCTACTCCACCGTGACAACTAACATGAACCTCACGTTTCTCCATTCTTCACCCTCTTCCCCTCAGACAACCCTATGCCCCATCGACCTCCTTTGTTCCCTCCCTTCAATTTCATGCCTCCTTGGGTCCCTCTTTCCTCATTTCCTATACATGCATCTGGGTTATCTCTAACCTATCACATACCCAATTTTCTCACACATTCTTTTATTGGTTGAAATAAAACCACAAAATTTACGACTCTCACGCTTTATCATCTTGTATACTTTTTAATAAAGCTAAAACAATGAAAAATAGTATGTTAAGATATTATATTATTAACAATCTTGTAGTGCACAAAATGAAGTATAAAAGACGAAATGTTGGACCGGTGGTCGATTTGGATGTGAGAAAGCTTGCTAATGCATCCGAAATATCGAGGCTTTAGTTTTCAAATCCGTGGACTTGAATGCAAACCATGACAAAATCAGCAAGGGTCGAAATTCAACACTGATGTATATATGGGTTCAATCTTTCTTTCTTTCTTTTTCTCCCTTTTTGGTCGTACCAAGATTTTACATTTTTTTTTATTGATGCTTTTTGAGTGAGACTATTCCTCACCGCCTCTATCCGGAACAGTTTTCCTGTCACTCCAAATGCAGTAATTGTAGTTGTGATGTGAATGCATGTGATCCTGGACCTTGGACTTAGTTAATGATCATAAGTACTTTGCACTCTTGTTAATAATGTTGTCTTGTAAAAAAGAAATACCCACTGTATATGCAAATGAAATTATCTTCCTATGTGCAAGAAATGGAAAAGTATACGTATATCTTCTTAAAATTTGGCTAACTCAATACCAAAACTTAACTAGAAAAAATAAGAATGAATCCTAGTTCTCTATATTGTTCGGACACATTCTTTTTACGTTGATAATTCAATATGTGTGTAACATTTGATAGATTAAATATCAACGTGGGATTTAACAACAAATAATTTTAAATAGACCTGAATTTAATATATATATATATTAGCTAGAGAAGATTGGCATAATTATTTTTATAAACAGAAAATTTACATAATGGTTTAGAGTACGTATAAGATTATAAATTACAGAGAAAAATTAACTGTTCATTTGTCCAAATTTCAGCTTCACGAACATTTTCTAATAATGTTGTTACAAAACATACGAAATAGAGAATATAATTTGTATAACTTGTCTCACTTCCAAGGTTGGAATGAAAGAAAAAAAAAAAAAAGACAGATGAAATTAGAACTGGTAAATTGTAAATGTTAAGAAAATTAATCAATGGTATCAAACAAATATCCGACTTCATTATAAATTATGTGAGAATTTTTTTTTCTTTCATTATAGCTCTGGATGATAATGTTGTGTAGAAGATTCATGGAAATCATATCATACAAAGTCAAGCAGAGTTGAACAAAAAAAAAAGAGACAAGAATCCAACATGATAAGAGACAGAGAAATCATGCAAAAGTAAAGGCATTTTCACCAAATGAAAAAAATTATATATCTTCTTTTAAAATATAAAATAAAGTAATCAAAATACTGTGATATCTTTACAGACAAATCAAGAAGGATATATTTTTGTTTGCCAGAATCCAAATTATTTGCTTTGCCTTTAATATCCTTGGCTTTACTTTATCTGATAGACAATTGATGTATCACTTTGCAATGCTTTTAGGTTCATAATATAACGGCTATAAAACCTTTGCAGAAATGACATGAAAGTAAACTTGGCCTATGAAAACATATTGGTTTTTGTCATTTCAAAACAATCCTTTAATGACTGTGGGAAAAGGGTTTTTCAGCAGGAATAAATGCAGTTGACAAATGGCAGAATGATAGACTGTTGCAGTTGATGGAGGAGACTTTGGATCGATGATATATAATGCGCTTGCTTGATTGAGGTGACGTGGGAGAGGATGCACATGGATGCTTAATAGACATTTGAGTTTAGTAGTTTATAATTTATGTATTTGCCAATCCTTGTGTAGTATAGTAATGTAATTATGGAAGGTTGAGCTGCGTTATAATATGGCTTAACGTAAAGGATAAACATGGCTTAACATGAAGGATAGTTACGATACTTTTGTGTTACTACTGTAGTGTACACAAAAAGAAGATCATCTGTTGAAATATGGCTTAACATAAAGGATAAACATGTTATGGAAAGTTGAGTTGTGTTACAAAGGTGAAGAAAATAAAACAATATTTAAAGAGAGTACTGGTTTTGCATGATGTCAAGCCATAATATATCAAAAGAACATTGCTGAAAAGGTAATAGTTTGAGGCAGAACTAGGCATTTGAAACCAGTGAAATCGTTGATAATATCTGCAATAATTTCCACGTATATAGCCATATATTTGCTTATCGTATATCAGTTAACAAAAGTACAGATAGTTGAAAATAAATGGTTACATATGTCCAATCAAGGCAAATTCCAATAATCTTCTCCATTGTTCAAATATACTACAGTTTCGAGTCTTGTCGATGGACATGTGCATAATATCCATCAACTAGAAATGACGTGCATTTCATGAAGTGTACGTCGTACTCCAATTTCTACATCAACCATTCGTAGGATAACGTATGAATTTAACAGTTATCGCTCTCAATTAGTTCCCCCTTTGACAAATTACATGCACACACAAAAATCTGTTCCACATAAAATCCCCACATAAGAAATTATTTGAGGTTATGGTTAAGATTAACTAGCTTTAAATTGAAAGAGAAAACAGTGTTTGGTGAATAAAAGGACTATAGATGTTATAAGAGGAAGACAAAATCCAATGAAGTAAAAGTCATTAAACTGTATCCTTACCGTTTTTTAGTTTACAAAATCTTAAAATATGAAACCAAAATAAAATAAAACAAAATTTAGAATATTTAATGAAAATACAAAAAATAAAAAGAGAAACAAAAAAAAAGTGGTGAATTAAGTAAACAGTGAATGAGGATGAAAGGGACTTGGTCTGATTTGTTGAATCTAATTGCTACGTAGGCTTATTACGGTCACGTGGGTCATGGAAAATAACTATCATATCAGCAAGACAATAGCATGTAGTGTTGGTCTATCAAACATCAACCAACCTTTTTGGGGGACAATTATCAGCAGAACCAGTCTGAATGAAAAGAAAGAAGCCCCACTGAGCTCGTCTTTCGTTCTTCTTTTCTTTTCCGACGGGACCTTTACGCATAATATAGCCCAACTTCAATGTCATGCCATGCACTCTTCTTCTTCGGCCCACATTCAACTTCGTCACCCCTTCCATCGCCCACATGTTGCCAATTTTGATTTCTTCACTTCTGACCTTACTAACGATTACTACGAATGATTTGATGTGCACTGTTCGATTCATGCTAATCATCATAATTTCTTATATGCTGTGTATTTCCTTCACGTTAAAATTCTACCGAAATCTTTTCCTTCTTCTTAATGTTAGAATTTGTATGTCACTTGAAGTTTTTTACTAAATAAAAATAATAAAATTCAATAATATATAAATCGAAAAGATCCACAGATCTTGAAATTTTAGAATCTTTTTCTTTTATATAATTTATCTTTTCTCCTTTAATTAAATCCAACAATAATATTAACTCCGTTTAAAAAATTTTAACTGTAATATCTTAATTAATCTAAAGAACAATTTAGTCAAGCACAATGTAAGAACTACGTCTATACAAAAACATATATATGTGAATTGTGAAACTAGTAAGAATTCGTAAGTTTCTTAGGATTATTACTGTACTCGTGACTAAGAAAAAGGAGAGTATTCCTATACATGAAAAATCACACTTAAAAATAGTGTTAAAATTCAAATATGACTTAAAGTTTCACATCAAGCTAATCAATATTGAAAAATATTTACAAATTTATTATCTCAAATAGTAAGTAGAATCATATTTTTTATAGGATTATTTTAAATAACCCCTTTAAAAAATCTTAATACTTAATCCACATATCATGAAACAACACCTGAATAAAATTGTTATTATCTGATGGATTTATTTATTTTTGGCTCGGATGGACAAGATTGTTTCGGGCAACGAATTTGCTGAGAGAATAAAAATCGTGCCGACACAGGAACTAAAAAAAAAAAAAATTCTTTGATTTAAATTGAAGCATTTGGTGAACTTAGATCACTTTTTGATTTAAGAGTAAAAAAGTATTACTAATGCGCTTTAGTGTCTCTGAGTTAAGTAAATGGGATAAATACACAAAAGTCTAACGTCGTGAATGGCAACTATTCGGGTCAATGTCATTACTTGTTCAATGATCAATCTTATTTTTAAAGTATTTCCAATAACGTACTTTTAACACATTCTTTCTTTTTATTGGATGAAGCCTACCTAAATTTTACAAATAACTAGTGTGAATCCACGTTTAATTTAATACACCTATTTTCTTTCCAGTGAGATATTACCAAATAATATAGATTTGAAAAGAGTGCGTATGCATTAATGAGATGGACATATAATGTTGTTAGGTTTATAGCAAAATCGGTTGAGTCAAACCAGCCTAACCCATTGCTTAGACTCTAACCACACTTTATGCTCAGCTACATTCCTACCACACTCATGTGTAAACTATTCAAGTTGATAAAAGGCGGCATAAAATGATAGTGTCATTTTTTATTTCAATATTTTATAGTTTGGTCAAATGTCAAACACACATCTTTAAGTCACCCAAAAATATTCATTACTGATCTAATTTTGTGTATTCGTTTAGTGTGCAGACATATCTTGATGCTTGTCTATTGTCTGGTAAAACAAAATTGCATGATTGATGACATTATACTCACATGTTTATAAGATTACAAAATTACAAAATGCCAGATATGGTGAATATCTATTAATCTAATTTCAAGATATCAAATATTAATGGTATGAACTGAGGTGGAAAATTTGGCAAGTTGGCTTGTAGGACATCTTTGATGCAGCTTGCTCAAAATTCTTGGAGGCAGATTCATTTTCTTCTATGCTTGTATCAGTGAAAAATTGTTTCCACCAAGATGAGGTCCGCATTTTAGCCTTCACAATGAAGCAGAATGTTCATAAAAGATGATAAGAAAAAGGTCTTCTAAAACAATATTACTACTATTAATAAGGTGAACCTTGGCGTGACTATAAAGTCTATTTGCCTCGTGCCATGCAATCGAAGGTTCAAACTCAGGAAAAATTTCTATTATTATTACCTAATCTTATATTGAGCCCTAGGCTCACCATGAACGGAGATTATTATCGGATATTCAAGCTAGCTCAATCCTCATTTGTCAATAATAGTTTTTGTCAGATAATCCATGTCATTGCAAAATTGATAACAAAATTCAAAGATAATAGTATTCGCTCCTCTAAGGTGAAAAATGCACTTAGAAAATGAATTGTAGTTATAATCATAGATTAGAACATCTTCAGTTAATATTGTGATCAAACCCTGACGCAACAAATTATAAAGTGATATAAATCTCAATCGATGATTTTCTAATTAAACAGCTATTCTCCATATCATTTTAGGGTTTATAATTGAAAGATAATAATAAGAACCTTCAGAGAACCACACTATAAAATCTAGTCGGTGTAACTGGAGAATCCAAGTCCTATAAACCCCACAAACCATGCTTTCAATGTGGGACTCAAGTCTCATTTTATAATTGGATCCATCCCACCATGCTCCACAGTCATCCCTTTGACTGAACCAAAGTGAACACGGCAATGTCTGTGTCACCAACGTTCATAATTGAAAGACATGGTGAAAAACTCTAACATCAATTGATAAAAGTCTAAGGAGAACTGCAACACAAGCTAGTCCTTTTAGTTAGAAGAGTCCAAGCCTTTTAAAAACCCCATACCAAAATTTCATACTTCCAATATGAGACTCTAAGTCCCATAAGCTTGTTATTGGATCCTAACATCTAATTCTGCTCCCTAGCCATCCCTTTGACTAGTTCCAAGCTAACAATGTATTGTGTCACCACCTACAATTGATATGAACCTTAATAAAATCACACCACTATGCAAGTTGTTATAGTTGGGGAGTCCAAGGGCTTATAAAACACACACCAAAGCCAAAACAAAGTTATCAAAACCACTTGTCAAATTGTAGGATCATACAATCCTTTGTTATTGTGTCCTTGGCATGCTAAATCGTGCATGGGATCATTGTTGAGCAGGACTAAAGTGGGACTATCATCTTCATCGTGAATTCATGGGATTGTTGATCCCCACTGTGTGAACCAGTTTTAAAAATAGCTAAAGTCCTTTTTCTCTTTGTTCGTGACACAAGGTGGGATTCTCTGATTCTCACTTCTGCAACCAACAATTTTGAAATTTCTTTGTTGTTGCAACCTACAACCACCTTTCCACCCTTGATCGTTGCTGCCATCAGAATACAGAGTGCAAACTTCAAACACACTCACACAGCTGCCTCTGCACTCAGTTTCTTCTCTGCCTTCAATCTCTACGTGCCTTCTATCACTTTCAGTCTCAGCTAAATTGGATTGTTCACTTATTTGGATACTATTATGAATTAATTATGGTAATGACAGATGTCATTCTACCTAGGATCAGGAAGGAAGGTGAAAACCTGTAATTTGGAAATCATAACTTGCATTGTAAGCCCACATTCCCACCGAAAATGCAAAACTATATATATATATATATATATATATATATTATATGCATAAAAAACATATAAACAAAACAACTTCCAAATCACACCATTAAACAACATTGCTGAAATCCCATTCCTCTAATATGGGACTTGAATCACATAAGTTGCAATTAGATCCTACCAAAAATATTAGTAGGTCACGAGTGGTTAAACAAATAACGTTTCCGTTCTGGACTTCCAAGCTCTAATGTAATTTTTATCATCTTATGATCAGTTACTTGAGAGATAATTTGGAAAAAGAATTCAACATCGGCTTATATCAGAATAATTTTTTGTTAAAAGATAAAAAAGGTGAAGCATAACTTTGTTAGATAAAATCACACTTATGAAGATGCAACACTAAATAACATAACTAAACAAACTGGATAAGAAGATATTGGATTTTAATCAATGAAAATATGAAATGGAATTTAGAACATGTGAAAGAAGCAATACTAGTCCAATCAATAGAAAAGAGTATTAGAAAGACATTAGACAGCGGGAGAATGCAACTCACTGGGCGGCCAAATTTAGACAATTCTGCTACTTTAGCTCTCCGTTGACCTGGATAACCTGAAAAGAAAGCAAAGTACCAAAATTACAAAAAGGTCGAGTACAATAAAAATAACATGATGAAGAAATATATTATTATTTAAGAGTCGGTATGGAAATAGGTAAAAAAATTGGTAACGAATATTTCGCACAATTTTACATATAAAACTAATCCTTTAATATCCAATTCCTATTTTTAAAGGAGTACCAAACTCAACATAAAGTTAAAATCATTGAAAGACATAAGCATATCCAAAACACAGAAACAATCATACTCTTGAATAGAAATTTAATTAGTTGGAATAAAGCTGCACCAATGGTTTGAGTGGTTACATTTATTCCAAAATGAAGTACCTGTGAAAATAATAATACCATCAGCAGATACCCTCGCTAGATCAGGAAGAGTTTTGTTCAAATATTTTGGAGACAGGTAATCCAAAGCATCTGACACTACAACATGAGAAAAAGACTTTTCCCTATATGGTAAAGGGAATTTTATATCAGCAACACGTACAATGCCTTTCTGCACTAGAGCCTTGCATTTCCGATCAACATCCTCAATTTCATATGGCTCCACACCCCATGCTTCAGTTTCCCCTTCACTTAACAATTTGGAGACCACTGAACAACTCTCAGGGCCTACATGCAAAACGTTTTTCATGCTGCCACCATATGCATTCTTCAAAACAGGAATTGCATTGGGAACTTCAAAAGTGCATGAAAAATCACCTGCAAGAGAAACATTTTGGTTTTGTTTATAACAGAAGTTTAAGCAATGTCTTTCCAAGACAATGCATGTAAAAGAACAACTTCATTTTTTGTGAATCAAACCACTGTTTGACCTGTTTTGACCAGGATTAGTCAAAAAATTTAATGTGATATATGAACAAAGAACAAGTTTGTTCAGTCTATTACACTGATATAGAGCAAATATCCAAGGCAGATTTTTGCTAAGGATGTTATTAGTTTGAAAAGAAAATGGGAAAGGAAAATATCAGAAAGGCAAAGAAGAGATGCTTTCGGCATGGTTTATGGTCCTGAAATTTTTCAATCTCCAAGATGATCAGGCATATTGCAAGTTAGAAAAGGAAAATATATGTTCCAATTTTATAAGATAGTGATTTATTTTTCTAAATCTAATAAACCTTTTGCTGTCCTCCATGCTCATGCTAATGTATCTGTGTCGCTCACAAACCTTCTCTCTGATTATAAACTTTACAGGCAACTTGCCTTGGAGCAGTACTACTTACACAACAATTCCAGTACAAACTTTTTGTTATGACCCAAGAAGATGAAGCAGAAGATTATGATTATGCATTTGAGCACATGAGCAGCCCAATGGTGAAGAGCAAGTCCAAATGCCATAGAACCAGGCCCAAACAATTTGATGACTATGATTGCACTATTAAGGGTAGAATGAGGCAACTGTAAGGAATCTTATTGGGGGAAAGGGCAGAGTAGTATTCTTTCAGTTTGTTAGGATTTCTCATAGATTTGCTTTACTGTTTTGTGATGTGTCGGCCATTGGACACTATTTTGCTATATGTATGAGTTTTTGCATGAAATAAAGTATGAGAAAGCAATCCATCCTTTTTTTTATCTTTTGTTATCTTCTGGAGGAAGCCTAACCTGTAAAATAGGCATTACACTTTTCCAACTGCTAAGGTAGAAAAGAGACTCCTTTAAACCCTTTGCAGTCAACTTAGCTGCAGTAGCATCAGCAGTTGTAAGGGATTGCACAACATATTGTGTTGTGATAGAATCTTTCCTTGTTGCCTAGTAATTTGTTCTCTATAGGGAATACAAATGAACATTTTGGAAGAGGATGGTAAGAACAAACCAAGGGTGCCTTTTATAGCACAACTAATGTCTAATTCATAAGATCAGATACTCAGGGGACTACAATCTACACTGATATAAAACCCAAAATAAGGGCAAGTTCCTCCCTGTGTAAACGGATGCTAAATATTGATGGACAAACAAACAATGGGTACTAAAAATGATGAAAATTTCTATAACCGCAACCAGAGCCCTCAACTCATAGGATTTACGACTTCATATCCTGAAACTTTCCATGTTCTCTGGTGCATCGAGAATTAGCCAAAAATTTGTTAGATATATGGTTAATCACCAGATTTTTTGCTATTGGCTATAATTATGTTCCAATGAATGGAACTTGCACCAATTTTTATTAGCATTGTTTCTGCTTAACTTTCCTAGCAAAGCTACTGCTTTTTATCAAGTCTTACTATGGCTTTCCGTAGCAAAGATACTGCTTTTTATCAAGTCTTACTGTGGCTTCTAAAACCCAAATCAACAATAAGTAACTTATAATTTTGCACAAAGCAATCCCAGTATAACATTTAAAATATTTGGTGACATACTTACCTTCAATCCTGTTAACCACATCTTTTTTTCCTCCCAACAGACCTGTCCACTTGAAAATGTTAGATCAACCAGCGCATAAACAAAAACACAGTATGTTACTTACATTTAGGCTAGTTTAGTATATCCATGAAAATGGGTTCAAAAATCCATTTAATTAGAATACACTAACAATATAAAGACTTTTGTTACCTTGTCATCCAATCACAAACTGCCATATAACTGAAAATGGTTGACTTTTGTGCTACTAAAGTCAAAACTAGAAAGATTTCTAATTAATTGAGAGCGTAAAATCCTTAAGCTGATGATGTATCAAAATGAAACTAAAAATTATCGAGGGATAAATTTCCCTGTAATTCCACATGAGAACTCCTCATCAATTAACTTGTCACTTCGTCATTAGGAATGTGCAAACTAACAATTAAAGACAAAAAAAACCCGTAACATTTACAAGAATATAGAAGCTTGTTACCTGACCCACCAAAAGCATAAATGACGAGAAGGATAGCTCCCTGAGATTTTCAATAAAAATTAAAAAATATTAACCTCATAATTTGTATTACCAAAACAGGATCAGCCCAATTCCTATGGGTGGATCCCATGCATCAAACAGCAGCCAACTGAAAAAAAATAAAAATAAAAAGGTGTGAAATTACCAAGAGAACGATAAATATGGACAATAGTGGGGAAGATTTCGATTTGGAATTGAGGACTCCAGAAAGGGTAAAACTCCCAGAACCATGTCTGGTGACACTTGCTTGTCTCCTTGTCATTACTTCTTATTGTGCCTGAAAAGCAAAGATCACCATTATTGGGAATGGAATGAAATTGAAGAAACGAGTGAGCAGTGATCAAAATGAAAATGAAAATGAAGAAGAAGAGAGGGTGTGAAGCACCTTATTTTATTGGATGACATTCATAACTGCACTGAGCAATGAAGGGAGTTTAGAGATCTAAATCTAGATGTATGAGAGAATAAGAGAAAGATGAATGGAACATAGCAATTCCAATTGCATTTGCATTACATTTCCATAACATCGACAGATGTGGCCGGCAGACCGCACTACTCTCATTTTCATTCTATTCTACAACACGGCCAATACATTTAGGACAAAATTACTTCATCTTCCTCAATCTTACATCTTTTATAAATAAATACTTTAAATTTCAATTTTATCTTAATTCATTCTTAAAATTTTATTCGCTTACAAATAAATATCTCAAATTTTAGTTTTATTTCAATTAATTATTGAGTTTTATTGATTTTATAATACAAATATAAAATATTCAATTTATTATAATTAATTATTAAATTTATAAATATTTTTTTATAAGAGGTTTGAGTTAAATCATTTGCATTAAATATTAATAATTCATTAGTATTTTTATTTTTCCTTTACAGTTATGAATTAAATAAAAATTTATGGATAACGAAAATAAAAAATTAAAAGATTTTCTACAAATAATTTTAAATTGAGCTCGTTTTTTAATTATTTATTTAAAAAATTTAAGAATCTAAAGTATAACTCTGTTGTTATAGTGACAAACAAAAGCAGTAGAGTAAACTAAAAAAAGTTAATCATAGCAATTTTATCTTATACACAGAGGGTATAATTATGATATACTTTATAAAAGATGTATCTTACATTAAATAACCGTTAATATAATTTTAGTCACTGCAAGCTTATTTATAAAATATGATTAAATATTTTACTTTTCATATACTATCTATATAATATAAAATATTTTTCTATTTTTACTAATTAGAAACTATTTTTAATTAATCATTGTAAACATTAATAAAACTTTTATATAAAAGACTATTATAATTGTTCCCATAAAAGAATTATTAAAACTGATCACAATATAAAAAAACTCGTAATTTTAATCAATTCATTATATTAAATAAAAATTAATTTAATTTTTTGAGGTAGAATTTTGAATTTAATTTATTGATACATCTATCCATTCTGGATATACAAATTATTATTTTAACTTTTAAAACTTATTAAAATGTTTTTTAATAAATAAAATTGTCTCATAATCAACAAATCAAATCAAGGCTGGATTTTTGTTTTTTTTTTTAAATTATTTTAATATATAAAAATGAATTATAACGAACATAATAAAAAATTAACAAATTATCTTTACTTAATGTAAATTATATAGCTTGAATATGTTAGAAGAAAATTATCTTTAAAAAGAATTCTCAAATGTTAAGAATTAATTTTTTTTCAGGTCTATATTTACAAAATCAGTAAAATTTAAAGATCAATTGAAATTAAATTAACGTTTAAAGAGTTTATATATAAATAAGATTAAATTTAAAGATAGAAAAAAAGTTTAATATGTCTGCTTATGAAAGAAAAAAAAGTTAAACTAACTTAAATACTTTTTTACTTTTATTTCAAAATCATTTTAATCTTAAATTCACATTTGATATGATGGTTTAAGTTTTCTAACTTTTTACCCTTATAAAAAAATAATTTTTATAATAAAGTAAGTCTAGTCAATAGTAACATAAAATAATTAATCATTTAGTCTTATAATTTTCAAGAATAAAGTCAGTATAGTCAATAGTAAGGGAAAATATTAAATATATTGTAAGTTAATAATAACGAGTTACTTATATACCTAATTATTAAAATTAGACTTTAATAATAGTTACTTATATACCTAATTATTAAAATAGATTTTAATAACAATATTTAAAAATAAAATTAATAACAATATTTTAATAAATTATTATTACAAGATCAAATATGTGATAATTTTTTTTAAAGACCAAATTACCATATTATAAGGATTAAAAATTATATTTAAAACTGAATTTAATTATATTTATAGTCATTAAAATTCAAAGTAAAATAATTTTTTCAAAATTAAGAAACCCAAAGTGAGAAAATAAAAAAAGTTTATTAAATTAAAAAAAAATTCTTAGTTCAAAAAGAGTCAATTTACATTAGCAAAAACATTTTAAAGTTGTGGCATGATATTCTATCACCATTTAATATGTGCATAATTTCAACGTAATTTACCTGTTTTGCTGTTCACATTGTTTGACTTGAGTTCAGAAACTAAACATTTTATTTTTTGAAAGATTACAATTTTAATTTAGAAGACAAAATATTTGTATTATATAATTTCTGAAGATATAATAAAATAAAATAATAATGTTCTTTGAAAAAAATATAGAATGTTTTAAAAAATAACATAATAATAAGAGTAGTTTGTGATTTAGAGAAATTTACGTATTATTTAAAATATGATTTAAATTCTGCAGTATTAAATTTAAGTGTATAAAATAAGTTTTTACTTATTAAGATTTAAATTTTAAAATTTGGATTTTAATATTATTTTTAATTATTTAAATATAATGTTTTTAACTAATTTTATATATATATATATATATATATATATATATATATATATCAATTATAAAGGATAAAAAAATTCCTAAAGATAAAAAACAAAATTATTCTAAATTTTAGTAAACTATAAATAATTATTTTTAAAATAAATAGTTTATTTTTAAAATATGAAACGAATGTATATAATCTAAAAACATATTCTCCTCTCCCTATTTTATAAGGAAGAAATAAGTCATCTACCACAAAGAGATACTTTCAATATATAATTTCTTTGATCGCACGTTCATCTTATCTTTTGAAATACAACAAATTCAAACATTGCTACTTGGTCTTATTTATAAAAAAATATTAAATAAAATGCTAATATTATATTTCAAGTAATTTAATACATATATTAATATTAGATCATTTGTGATGTAAGTTATTACTCTAACAGATTTTAAACACATTTTATTTTTAGAAGAAGAAAAAAAAACGCATAACTTTTTTAGGGATTAAAAGAGAATTAGCAATATTCTAATGGAACCAAAGTTTTTATAGTATGCTTTGATAAGAGTGTGATAAATATTTTTTTTCCATTTTAAATATTTATTTGATATATTATGTTAGAATGAGAATTTTATCAAATATTTTAAATTTAAGAAAATATAAATTCATTTGAGTATACATATTATTTCCTCGCACTATATGTTTTCTTAAACTTAGGGAAAGAAATGATTCTTCAAGTAATAAATATAAAACAAACTAAACTTTTTAAAATATTAATGATTTTAAACAAGATTTCATTATAATGGAAGCTAAGTTAAGCAGTGTGGTGTAGTGGTGTTATGAAACAAAAATAAACAAAAGTAGACGTTGGATATTGAGAGCATACCATGAAGACAGATTAATTAAGGTTTGAGACACGTTTGCATGCATGTGTATTTGTTGTCTCCCAGAATCTTAACGTACTAAAGCACTAGTCTTATCTGGACGTGAACAAACATGACATTTTCTGTTGGAAAAAAGAATTGCATAATTTGTTTGTGTTTGTCAAAATTTTAGCATATTATGAGACAATTTTATATTGTTTCACCTGTACCACAGTCACACCACTTCAAAATAAAATAGTGTATAGTATATAGTATTAATTACATTTATAAAACAGTTTTTTGGTAACTCTCTCAAGGAACATGTACATAGCAACAAAAGCTTTAATCTTAATACAGCTATTTGTGTCGTATACACACTCTAACCAACTCTTTCTTTTATGGTTTAAATGTATAAACTAATTAAAAATTAGTATCATTCATCACAAAAAAAAAAATGTATTTTAAAATTCTCAAATGATAAATAAAGAATAATTATTTTTTCTGAATATAAGTTAATTTGACTAAAGCTATTTTTTGTTTTTTTCTTCACTTTTTTTATTCTTTCTACCTTGTGCGAAATTCCTTTTTATTAAAGAAAAAATATATTTCCATTTAATTTAATTACAATATTTTTAGTGAAAAACAGATACACACCACACACACAAAAATCTACTATGATAGTCTTTATTTTAAAACTAATAAATAATTGCACTTGATCATTATTTTTCTCAGCGTTCCTTTCTGTTATACATAAAAAGTTGTTGTTTATAAGAAAATTTAAATATTTAAATTGATAATTATATAGTTATAACCAAAAATTTAAGTGTATGATATATAATTACGGATTAGCTTACCAGTTAATTTTGACAAATAATTTCAATTTAATTAAGATGTTAGGATCCATTTGACAAAAATTATAATAAAACATAACCTTTTTTACTTAAAAATAACAATTTAAACGTCACGATTTAACTATACTTCGATCCACTTAAGTTCTGTCACATAATAATTAATGCTAATGCAACATAACATGCATTACATTACAATTAAATAAACAATAAAAAAAATAATGAATGACAGATTTGTATTTAAGTAAAATAATTTAATTTTTATATATAAGTACATGATCAAATTAACTTTTCTCACACTGGAACGTATTTACCTCACAAAATGTTAAAGATATTTAATAATATTTTATGTCACATTTACCCATTTTTAGAAATAGTATTTTTTTTACTAATAAGTGTAGAATGAAAAATGATCGAGTAAAAATATAAGTGAAAAATAATAATTTGTCTTATTTTATAATAAGAAGTGATTAAAAAATGTTATTGTTAATTTTAATAAATATATTTATTTTTTAAATTTTAAACAATAAAATTTATATATATATATATATATAATTCTGAATATATATATATATATATATGAGAAAAAATATAATTTTTTATAAAATTATTCTTATTTAAATAAATAATTATTTATTTTTATATTTAAAATTTCAAAATATAAATATATTAATTATTATTTTAATAAAATATTACAAATACG